TATCGGACTGTAGGGTCTTGAACACTGGTGTTCCACAGGGTTGCGTGCTATCGCCGCTTTTATTCTCTATATACACAAATGAGTTGCAACACAACAGTAAAGATTTCACATTAATTAAGTATGCTGATGACATTGCCCTAGTTGCTGGTCTGAAAGACACCAACAGTCCCTCCTACTCCCAGCTCATAGACCAGCTCTCTATCTGGTTTGATGACAGTTTTCTGGCCCTTAATGTCAGTAAAACCAAGGAACTTTGTTTGGGAGGTAGATGGGGAGCAGCCAGCACCAGACCTACTTTTAGGCCTTCTATTATAAAAGGGCAGGAAGTAGAGCAGGTGACTAATTTTAAATACCTTGGAACAATAATTGACAACAAGTTGACCTTTGAACCCAACACTGACTATATTTACAAAAAAGCTAGACAGCGTCTCCACCTTCTGTATAAGCTAAGGAGCTTTAATGCAAGCAAAATTACTTTGCAGTTGGTGTACAGGTCACTGGTTGAAAGTGTTGTTTCATTTAATATTGTCTCATGGTATGGGAACCTCCTAGCCAGAGACAGGAACAAGTTGTCCCGGGTGGTCAGACAAGGTAGTAAAGTCATTGGTCATCAACAAATGACACTTACAGACCTGTACAGTCAGGTTCTGGAAAAAAAGGCAATCCAGGTTTACAATGACCCAACTCATCCACTGCAACCATTATTCAGGTTGGTACCGTCTGGTAGAAGACTCCTGGTTCCTTTAGCAAAGAAAAACGGGTACAAAAAGTCATTTGTTCCCTCTGCGGTGAATGTACTTAACAAGGTTCTATTTAAACGCAGCCTCACATAACAAACCACTGTCTGCTGAGATGTTTTCATATTCTAATGTATTGTGTATTTTAGAATGGTTTTAACTGAATGTTTTAAATTGATTTAGCAAAGTTTGGTTTTAAGTTTTTTTTAGAGTTTTTAATCACATTTTTATTTTGTTTTATAAGCCATATGTCAAAGACAAATCTCCATTTCATTGAATGTTATGGACAATAAAGTTGAATTGATTGATTGATTGATTGATGCTACTCACAGAAACAGCCTGAGGACAATCAAGGCCAAAGTGGCTCAGAAAAGGGATTGTAAACTCAATCATCCAGGTAGATATCAACAAAAAATATTAAATTGTGTAATCTGGACTAGTTTATTTACGTGAGAACAACCTCCTGTTGAGATTCCAGGAGGACGGCAGGAGGCTGTCTTGAAACACAGCAGTGAAGGTTACATATGGGTCAGATCTGGTTGGCAGGCTGTAGACTGAGAAAGTCCTCTGGATGGGAGACAAAATATTTCTCACTTAAAGAAACTGGTCCAGATGACACAGTTTAATCTTTTGTATACTTAATGCCATGGTTTGAGCAAAAGCTTGTGTGATTTATACCACACGTAGTAATTTATTTTATTTTTATTTATTATTTTTATTTTTTTTGGGGGGGAGGGGGAAGCTTAGCAACTACCACAACAAGTTTCATCTGTTAAATCCATCCATCCATTATCTTCTACCCGCTTCTTCCATTTTGGGTCGCAGGGGTCGGCGGTGCCCATGTCCGGTAATTACTGTGCGAGGGGCGGGGTACACCCTGGACAGGTCGCAAGTCCATCACAGGGACACATAGAGACAAACAACCATTCACTCTCTCACTCACACCTAGGGACAATTTAGAGTTACCAATCAGCCTAACATGCATGTTTTTGGACTGTGGGAGGAAACCGGAGTACCAGGAGAAAACCCACGCATGCATGGAGAGATCATGAAACTCCTCCCAGAAAGGCCCCCGAACCGGGATTTGAACAAGGGACCTGTGCGCTGCGAGGAAGCAGTTCTACCAGTTGTGCCACCGTGCTGCCATATGTTAAATCAACTGTGGTAAATTAGCTTTGACGGCCATCTTGAATTGCACCTACTCTGGAAGGTAATCAGTTATAAATGTTCAAACAACGATTACTTTATGAAACGTTCAATACATCAATCCAGTGGCTTAGGATATATTTCCTAACAGACAAACAGAGTTGGATTCAAACATCAGATGGCAACGTTTTAAATCAAAATCTTGTGCAATTTGTTAGTGCTTAGCATATTGGTTAAGCATCTATCTCAGCTACTAATGCCTCCAATTTTAGCCTAATATCATTAAATTGGACAGATGTATAGTCTTTTTTTTGTATTGCTGAGGTCAATTACTTCCGGCAGCCATCTTGAATCACTTCAAAGGGTATTGGGTAGTAGATGTAAAGTCAGAGAATACTTTCTGAGAGCTTCATTAAAATATGTCTAGTTGTTCATGAGAGATGTTGGTACAGAGATGTGGACACACAGTAACGCAAACGTACACACACACACACCTTTACCTTCAGTGTTGGGCAATAACAAGTCTGAAAAATCTAAGCCTGACAATAGTCAAGTGTTGGTAGCAACATTATGCATATGACACATTCACATTCATTCTACTGCAATAACAGCAATGTGTACTTTCAATAAACACAAGTAAACTCCACAGAACAAAAGGTTGGCTTTTGAAAGCTGAATGTCTTTAATTAAACGTCAAAACATTGAAGTGAAAAAAGCTGGTCTTAGAGTTACGTGGGTAATCAAAAGTTTGATTTAAATATGCTCATAATCTGTAAACAAGCAGTAATTTTTAGGCAGCAATGCCAAGAAATGAACTGCAATTCAGGCGTTTACACCTGATCACATCCCTAATAAAAAGCCATTGTTGAGAGCAGCCCAGTTAATTAAAGCAAGGGCACGGCTCTGCATCTGTCACTTCACTTGGCAGCTCCTTTAATTATATATTTTGGTCAATCTGTTCCTCCTGATGTGAGAGGGTATGCCATACATGAGACAACATCTGCTGAGGTATGTCACATGCGCTTCCACATCTGTCTGCGTTGTCACACGGCCTGTCAGTCATTCAGGCCGCATCTCATACGCGTTTATGTTATCATATTGAGAAACTTCATTCGAGATACTGTCAAGATCTGAGAGCCCACAGCTGTGCCACAGTCACAATTAACACCCTTCTGCTAAGCAGCAATTCGACGCATGACTGCCAAGATTGGCACTACACACAAAAAGCCAGACACACCCTGTGGCTTGCAGTCATTTTGGTCCCTTATGCTGTCCGTCAAGCCGACAGTGGTGACTGTTCTCTAAACTGAGTCCACCCACAAAGGCTTGTGATCACCTAAGTTGTCAGCTAGCATCTGCTGAAACTACCAACCAGTCAACTGTGAGGCTGCCACCAAAGATATCTACACAGAAAATGTGTCACCTACACATGTTCAAAACTCTGCGACATGTTTTCCGCAACTATTTTAGCTTCTTTTTTTTTATTACATTGTGAACATAATCTGCAAAGCCTTGGAGAGTGGCAGGCTGTTTTGTACCCATGACATTGCGATGTGGGAAGCATCTTGAAAGCTTGTGTCATCGCTCATGTTGGGTGAAAATAAAGCGTAGATGTCAGTGTCAAACATTTTCCATATGAAATAATGGCTGTCCTTTGAATACCACAGCGGCGACATGAATATAGCACTTTTAGATCTAGTTGTGTGATTTCGCAACATTTCATTGTCACTCATGTTGCGGTGCTAATCATACCCTGCATCAGAGACGGTGGTTGTTTGTTGTGGAAAAAGGCCCTGCGCTATGCTGTCTTTAGAGCTGGTGCTCCTTTGAAGTTGTGTGATGCAGATTGCACCTCCAACTAACACTAGCATTGTTTTTTTTTTGTTATTATTTTTTGTCTCATGCTGTATGGAAGTTTTACAAAACACAAGATAAACTGGTTTCAAAAGCTCAAGTGTAGCATTCTAAATGAGAGGGGGATCAAAAATCTGGACATCTTGCTGAATAATAGCAGGTGACACTGTTCAAGAATAATAGTCTGTATAATCCTTTCCGGCACAAACACACTAAAGCACACATTTAAATGTGTCTAGTCCAATGCAAACACACACACTATTACAAATGACACAGAAACCTAAAGACACACATGTCCTCTGTCCCTAGATTATACATTGTGTGTGTTTGTAATCCCCTCTGAGTCTATTAATATTTCTGTTTCCATGGCAATTCGAGCCTTGCCAAATGTTGTGGAGATAAGAGAAGATAAGAGCATAAGGAGCAGAGAGATAAGAGCAAGTGACCTGTGGAGATCAAAGCACGAGAGGTCAGGCAGGAGAGCGGAAGTAAGTAACAGAAAAAAATAGACCTTGCTTGCTCAACTCCACTGCAAAACAGATGGAAACACACAAAATATGACAGGCCGTCACAGCCCTCCAGGAGTACAAAAAAAAAGGACAAATACTCCCTGTGTCCAATTTTAACCCCCAGAAAACTTACATGGGAGCAGAGCAGCATGTCACAGCAGTTATATCATAAGAAATATTTTATACCATACCGTATCTGTACTTCATTCCCAGAACATTGCCTGTATTTTTATTTTTCAGTGACCGATACTGACTGTTTTTTGTTTCTTTAAAATATGACAAATACTGTATTTTCCTTTTATTTTATTTTATTTCCAAAGTAAAGCATAACATTTATTTTTTTATTATTATTTTTTTTATTAATGTTTTTATTGATCACTTTAGGAGTAGATCTACAGTAAAGATACAGACAATAAAAACAGAATAATGGTAGCAAATCTGCAAACGTTTTTTTTTTTTTTTTTAAGTATTATTTACCATTTTTATAACATACTAATGATACAATACCAATTTTATTTAAATTGATTTTAAAAATTACAAAGTTTACTCCCATTTAAGTAAATCATAATAAATGACTCTTCTCAAATTAGAGCTGATCTGTGCAAAATATGTTGCAAAGCAACTGCATACACCACAAACACTATGAAAAGTTTTACTGTACCTCTATGTTACCTTTAAACAATGCATCACACTAGCCAACAACTCCTAACGGACATTCTAAACAGGAAACAAATTTTACTGGGGATAATCTTACCTGTTTGTTGTACTTGGGTGCATTAGTCTTGTAGCTGTAATCAGAGTATTGGTCTGAGCCGGTGGAGTTGTCGTCTCCTCCTGTTCCGACAAAAGTGTTGGCTGCAGGAAGGTCCTGGACAGCTTGGTGTTTCTGGGAGGCTGAGGGGGATTGGGCTTGCAGATGAATAGAAGGTAAAGGTGAGTTGGAGCGGTAGTGCCTGCCTATATCAGGGCTTCCTGGTGAATATGTTAAGGGCAGGTGTATCCTGGGGCTGTCATTGACTCCATCAAGGTTGAACTTGAGACTCTTCTGAAGGCTGACCTCCTCGTCTTCCCCAAGTGGTTTGGGGGACTTCTGGGGTTTACCTTTCCTTCCACGTTTGCCTTTGGCATTTTTTGGTGCCTGTTTGGGTGCATATAAGTCCTTTGTTTCCTTTTTGCCAGCCTGATAGCCACTTTTTGTTTCTCTCTGGATACGGTGACGAATAAATACCACAACTAAGATCAGCATTACAACTCCTGCTACTCCAGCTAGACTTCCAAACAAAATGTTACTGCGGTGTGCAGCAAAACCACTGTAAGGATCACCAGCAATGTCTCTATCCAGTGGAGTGTAAAGACTGTGGCCAACTAAGGCTTCCACTAAGCTGACATTTGAAATTGTTTCATTGACATATATGTGAACCAAAGCAGTAGCATGTCGTGGAGGTTTTCCTCTATCACTCACCCGCACCACTAGACGATGTAGTCCACCATGTTTGCGAGTCATTTCCTTGGCCAGAGTGATTTCTCCACTGGAAGGGGAAATGCGAAATAAATTGTAAGGATTTCCTCGAGCAATAATGTATACCAGCTGAGCGTTAGGCCCACTGTCCAGGTCTTCAGCTTCTACCACCTCAACGTGGCTGTCTGGTGAGGCTAAAGGGGACAAACGGCGGAAAGAGGAGTTGGACGGCTTAGTGATCACCGGGTCGTTGTCATTTTCATCCAGTACATTGATAGTAACACCAACATAGGAGGACCTGGGTGGTTCTCCTCCATCCACAGCTTTAAGACGGAATGTGTAACTGCTTTCTTTCTCCCTGTCAAATGAGATGCTTGACAAAATAGTGCCTGTTCCATTTTGAACAACAAACTTCCCTCCATCAGGTTCTACAGAGAGGTGAACTTGAGCATTCTCACCTTTGTCCATATCCTGAACTGTCACCATTCCAACTGGACTGAGGGGAGGCATGTTTTCTAAAACTGAAAAGCTATAGCCACTAAGCATGAACTTAGGGTCATTGTCGTTCCGGTCAAGAACTTTTACTACAACTGTTGCTGTGCCTTTGTGTACAGGTGAGCCTTTATCTGCTGCGGTGACTCGAAACTCATATCGTTCCTTGTGTTCACGATCTAGTGGGCTCCGAGCTCTTACTTCACCTGTATTTGGGTCAATCTCAAACAAACCTTTGATGGATGAATCTGCCACAATATTATAGAGGAGTTCTGCATTAGTGCCACTGTCAGCATCAGAAGCAGTAACATCCAAAACCTTTTCCCCTGGTTGATTTTCTTCAGCAAATTCAACCTCAAACAAGGTTGGGGAAAATATCGGAGAGTTATCATTCACATCCGTCACCTGCACCTTTAAGGAGTTTGTACTGGACAACGCTGGATTTCCAGAATCCACAGCAACAATTTCAACTCTGTAATCCCTGACTCTTTCGTAGTCTAGAGGCGTGGTTGTCTGTAAAAAGTACTTCCTCTTGTTGTCAGTGGTTGAGTCGCTGGCAGGGCGAAGCTGAAAGGGTACGTCACCTGCAACCACACAAGTAACCACAGCATTCTCTCCTTCATCTTTGTCAGACACTTGCACCAAAGCAACAGCTGTCCCCACTGGCATGTCCTCTGAAATATTAGCCACTCCTTCACTGTGCGTCACAAGACCAATGCCACGAATCTCCACAGCTGGGGCGTTGTCATTTTGATCAGTCACCTCGATGGTTACAAATGTCTTGGAGCTTTTAGGTTGAGGGCCCTTATCCCTTGCCACTACATAGAAAGACAAGCTGCTGATTTCCTCCCTGTCCAGTGGCCCTTTGACATAGATGATTCCAGTGGCCCGATCAATTCGTAAGAGTTTTGGCACTGGGTCTACAGCTTGATGAAGGGTGTATTCAATTTCTCCATTAGGGCCCATATCAGAGTCATTTGCTTTGACCTACAAACAAAACAGAAAACGTGGTTAAAGGCATTAATTTAATGCAACAAACGTATGTTAACTCTAAAGGAAAATTATATAGATTTTTTTGCACTGAAAAATTTTCCATTAAATTAATAAATATATAGATCAAGTGGTGGGTTGATCACTTCAAAGCACAACATGCATATATTATTTAAGAATGTTTATTTTTTGCTTTGCCTCTCTTGTGTTATGTGCCCTTTCTAGTAAAAAAAGCAAGCATATTATAAAATGTTAAGACTACAATTTCCTTTAGTAATTAAGATGATTTTTAAAATATGGTGATTTATCTATTTATTTATTTTTTACAGAACATCTTTCACCTACATTCTGTTATATTTTCACTCTTTTCTTCCACAAGTGCAACAGCACAAGAAGCAATAAGCAGCTTAATTAAGTGCAAAACACATAATATGCTAATGTTGTAGTATTTTTTCAACATGTATAATTAAAGAAAATAAAAAAAAAACTTTACAAACAAAGCAAGAGTGTCTTTTGTTTTCCACAAACACCTTATCCCTCTGCCCTCAAGAAAAGGCTCTGAACACAAACAAAGTTGTAAGATAATTTTGCCATAATAAAATCCAAGAACAGGGTAAACATATATTTAATTTCAAGCCTAAACTTGTAAGGATGTCTAAATGATACTAAAACAGCAAGTCACTGCTTCAAAAGCATGTGAATAATTTGGAATATAATGAAAACACATGGTTAAAATGTCCCCATAAACCAGATAATAGTATTTTTTTTATTAAGTTACACTTTCATTGTTTAAAATGCATCATTTAAAAATCAACAAGTATTTTTTTTTATTTTTACAATCTTACCTGTAAAACAGAGTGCCCTACGGGGCTGTTTTCAGAAACTTCTGCCTCATATGAGGACTTTTCGAACTTGGGGGCATTGTCATTTGCGTCGGTAACCACCACTCTCAGCAAAGCACTGCTGTAGCGCTGAGGGTTCCCTCCATCCACTGCCTTGATGGTTAGGTCATAAGAATCCTTTAACTCTCGATCTAGATTGCCAAGGACAATGAGTTGTGGGAGTTTCCCTCCCCTGTCATCAGCCACTTGTAAACCAAATAAGGTTGCTGCGTCTGGCCCTGCATTCAGCGCGTAGTCAGCCACTCCATTCCTCTCCGAGTCCCTGTCTGTAGCAAGAGGTATGGAGAATAATGCCCCCATGATTGTGTTTTCAGGCACCAAGATGGTGAGCACAGAAGAGGGAAATTGTGGCGTGTTGTCATTGATGTCCTGCACTTCAATCCGTCCTTCAATAAGTCGTGGGCTCTGGTTTTGTATCAGATCTGTTACTGATACTTCAAACTCCAAGTAGCAGGGTTTTCCCTTAGCCAGGGACCGGCAGTCCCTAAGGGTCTCTCTGTCAATTGGAATCTCAGTGGTGAAAATGTCGCCTGTCTTTCCATCGACACGGAGATAAGGGGCGCCCACCTCCAGCTTGTAGAGGTGGCCTGAATCCGGTAGTCCCTGGTCTGCTGCCAGGCTACCAATAAGGGTGTTGGGGGGCTGCTCCTCCTGGACTCGGTAGAGGATGCTGCCTTCAGCAGAGCCACAGTGCAGCGCCACAAGCCAAAACAATACTGCTCGTAAAGTCACTTCCATTAGGTCATCAGAAGATCTGCCTGAAATGACAAAAATAATTCAGGTCAAGATGACAATAATTCCTTTCAGAAGTCACTCTTCATCATTCTTCTATAACCCCCTTTTCCAACTGGAACAAGTTCCACAAAAATTCAATTACATATTTCATTTTAAAAAGAAAATTATAAAGCCCACATCAGCAGCTCTTACAGAGCAAAATTTATTATTTAGTCAGCGAGAAAAGAAGGAAGAAAAAATCATTATAGTATGGTCTGGGTGCTGTACAATTGTAAAATTATTTATTTGTGCAAACTTTTTATATACAAAACTAAGAGCCTGGAGGCAACAGTAAAAAAGGAGGTGTGCTCTTTTTTTAATCATTATTATTATTATTATTATTATTATTATTATTATTATTATTATTATTATTATTATTATTATTGTATAAACAGCTATAACAACCACTTCCCATCATGCCTTTTTTTTCTTTTTCTTTCACCCAGAGCATCAGGAGCTTGAATGAGTATCTATTCTTTATGAATTTCATGTAGAAATGAATGTTGAATGTAAAAATATATCTCATGAGCTCACACATAAAACAAACCAGAAGGCCGACGAGGATTGTTTCAGCTGAATAATCAAATAAAACTGTAATACGGGATCTCACAACCAAAGAGACTCATTATTTCTGTATTATAATATTAGACACTGAGAGGGGAGGTAATGCAGCTTTGTGTGTTGGGGTGTTTGTGTGTACATGTGAGGGTATTTGTGCCTGTGTGTTACTCATAATTGAAACAGAAGTAAAAAAAAAAAAAAAAAAAGAAAAACCACACACACACCAAGGATCATTGTCCAGTGCTTTGGAAAACTTAATGGTGGAAACATTTTAAAATGTTTACACGTATTTCCCACCGGGGAGCGCACTATAAATATTGTGTATTGTTCGTTTCTATGCTCTCAGTACAGATCTGTATGTATAATACAATAAGTTTGTTTGAGTGATGCTCTGGTTGTATATACTGATCAATACTGGCAATATGGCTCAGGGATTAAACTGAATAAACCAATCCATAGTCAGTACGGTTTCTTAGCCACTCTCTTAAAATAATAACTAGAGGGTTTTATGTTGGTGAATAGTTAAAAGAAATAAAAACTAAATCATTCACAACACTTAAAAAATGAAATTCTCCTCTTGTAGATGAAACTTGATGCGATGTGTTCTGTCTAACACCCTTAAACATTTAAATTAAAACAATAAACATATCAGTTTGAATTGTTCGCAGTTCGAGTTCACCCAGAGGGATTAAAAGAAGAACTAGCAAAATCAACACAGCTTTATTTTGAGTCGGATGGAAATGAGCCAGCAAAAAAAAATAAAAAAAATAATAATTTAAAAAAATGCTCCGCTTACATAAAACAATGTTCCATGGAGGAATAAAGCATGCGTGTTAGACAGTGAAACACAAATACAAAGAAATCCAATGAGAAATCTAATTCCTTTCGAATACATTAAAATTGGAAGTGCTGGGAATTGATGCACTAATTGCTCAAGTATTGATGTGTCCTCTTTTACATTTGCAGGAAGGGAGATCTCGCCAGTGTGGCATGAATGAGGAGGTCATTGTTTTTCCATGAAGGCAATATTTCTATATATCTATAAATATATATATATATA